GAGTCCTTTTTGAGTGTAAGATAGTGTGAAAATGTGCGGGTGAGTGCTGCAGGCTCCCGCGCGCGACTTAAACTGCTGTGATCACTGCTGTCCGCGATACGACATGTATCAGTTGCGTAAAAATGACAAGTGTTGTCACTCGTGCATCATTTGCGCGTGAATTTGACATATTGTATTCCCGACCATTCCACGTATTTCATCTACGCTGCTTATCGTATATAGGCTGATTTCAGTAGCTAAAGATCCGAAGTTTCGGGATTCAGGTCCTCGTAAGTCTAGAGATGGCACGCTCGTATATGTTAGCCTACACTCAATGAGAACTCGATGAGAATTAATGAACGACAATATACGTATTTCGAGCGTGATGCGCGCGCGAAACGTTCGTTTTCGTCCGGAAAAGTCTGCGACATCGATACGACGGCTTTATTGTAAAACCGATTTGTGAATGCACAGTGAACTTGTGATGTATGAGTCGCATGGAACCGTTTCGCGCGATCGACTTTGTACAAGTAGCAAGTGCAAGAGAAAATGGTATTTTCGCGTGTGTGTTATGTAGGATGGTTGGCAACGGTAGACACGTATTTCTTCGTGAAGAGCCCCTCCTCGAGACGATCCCTGCGATTTTGCAATATCGACGCAAGGTCAATCTTACACGATCATTGTGCAAGGAGAATTGTGCGCGAAATGTCGAGAAGTCTCTTTAAAACGGCATAAAGAGGACGTCGTCTTGTCCGCTTTAGTCGGTGAAAAAGTCCCGAGTCTACTAAGTGGCTTTTAATATTACAAAAAGTAGAGATTTTGCTCTTCCAAGGGAATGATATTTCACGTCAAGCCGCGCATTCCTTTCGCGTAACGGAACTTGGCGAATGTTTTTAGCCACATGGGGCGAAGAAACAGAAATTTCGAAAAGCGCCGTACACCACCACCACCGCCGCCGCGTGGAAGGCGACTTTTTCCCCGTATCGATCGCGTCACGATCGCGTCCTACTTTTTCCGCGTGTCCGCTCGCGTCGGTCTAGACGAGTAAATTGCGTTGTCGACGCGCATTTAATTGCGCGCTCGCCGAATCAGCGCTGGTCAAATTCGCAGAATCGATGCGATACGATTGATAGAATAACAGATCGCTTCGCTCGGATGTCGAGTTAATAGAACGTCGAGCTAAATAGCAGGTAAATCGGCGAAATGGCCATCCACCTCGTTTCAGCAGATATTATAACCACTAGTTCCTTTCTTTTTTATTTTTCTTCTTATTTCCTTCTCACCTTTGCTTCGATCAACGAAGATAATCGCGAGGACGAATCACGTGCGGAACGAAGCTTTGAGTGAAAACAACGAAGAACAACGAATTAATTAGGACCGGCGTTTATCGTCGAGTATATCGAGAAATGTACCGAGATTGTGTCGATCCACTCGTCATTGATCACTGATGGAAGAGCGCGAGCTTCTTTCCGATCTGGCCTCACAAGCACGAAGAGAAAAGTTTCGATTGATTAAGAAAGTGCCTGGTGAAATATGAACGAAGCAGAATTCCGGTTGAAATCACACCAAAATTCTGTTCAAGTTAACGAGACACTGACTAATCAGAAATCTTGCGAACTTGAACAGAATTCCAGTGACGTCGAGCGGAATTCTGGTTCGTTGATGTTTCCACCGGGCGTTTGGTCGATCCAACCGAATCTTTTCTTCCCGCGAGGTTAACGCTGAGGCGAATAGTGTCGCGGAGTAGTGAACGGAGTAATAATTAGCGCAGTGAGGTCTCGTACACGGAAGGACCAGAGTGACCCTGTTAGTAACACAACGGTGGTGCGTGTGGCTAGTAACATGTCTCTCGTTTCGTGTGTCATGAGATGTTTCGAGTTCTGTCGCGAAATTTTATACCTTTCCCACGTGTGTCGAGAGTAGTGGCGCCCTGTTCTTTTTTTCCTCTTTTGTTTCTCTTTTTCTTTTTTATTTTTCTTTTCGGCGAAGAACAAGTTAAAAAGGAGACAAACAGCCAGAATCCACAGCCGGCGTATCGATTAGCCTCGTAATCGGACTTGACATTCGCCAAATCGGACTGCTAAACACCCGAAGGACGAGGTGATTGACCGGAAAGCGAGTATCCGCCCTCTGCAGCGCGCGTGAATCGTGACCGACGACGCATCCTTCGGACCTTCGACGTATCGGCTCGCTCGCGTCGAAGCGAGGATCGAACATTGTGTCCCTTTGTGTATTATGTAACGATGGTGCAGCGCGATGTTTCGCTGCCCTATCTCGATTCGCAATCGATCCTGGTTGTTTTACTTCGGTGAGCACAAAAGTACTATCGCGAGAAACACAGCAGTGCAAGAGGGAGCAACGGGGGACGAGGCCGCGGTGGAGAATTTCATTTGAAATCGATACAGAAAATTTCAATCTAACTAATTACTGAGCAATCACGCGTTTTGTTTAACTTGTTTACGTTATTAATAAAGCGACCTGGAAAAGTGAAAATTATAACGTTTATCTTTCTCCTTTTCTTTCTCTCTTTTTCTCTCTCTTTCCGTCCATCCTTTTTTCTCTACCGCAACAATGCAATTTAACTCTTTTGCACGATTTAAAGAAACATGATATCGATTTTTACTATTTGCATGCGTCTGTCCACGTCACTTCGCGAATTGTAAGCTATAAACAAATTTAGTCCCACGTGACCCATAAGATATTGCGGGTCGACGGGAAAATGAACCTCCCTTGCAATTACTGTGTCTCTCTTTCCTCTTTCTCACTCTGTTTCTTCCACTCTCTCTTTCACCCTCTCTCTCTCTCTCTCTCTCTCTCGCTCTCTCTCTCTCCCTCTCTTTCTCTCTTTCCAATCGCGGAACTAATCCGCGATTCGGGCAACTAGATACTGGCGCTCAACAAACGTTGACTATGGCACTCGATTCCATTCGACATGTAACGGTAAATCTCTCGAATCGGCCCGTACGCGCACTCCATTACAGTCTGACATCGTGGACATCGGATGAGCTCGTCGATCCTCGCCTGGACAGCAAACACGAGCCGCACTGACGCGGATGCGTTAGATCGCTCGCGAGCCTGCCGATTTCTCGGACACACCGTATAATACAATGGAAAAAAAAAACGGCCCGGACGCGCGCGGTACCACGACGAAATGGCGGTTAATGAAGTATAACACTGCAGTCCACACCACGTAACAATATCCAAATGTACGCGCGTATATACGTACCGTGCACACGTGTGTGTTGTTTGTATGCGCTCACACGTATGCAGGGTGTCGCGCAGGCTGGCCGAACTCTTCTTCCGCGTGCACGGGTCTCCCGGAGGACGATTTACGCGACGGATCCCCGTTCTGGGGACGTCAGAGCTAGTCGAAATTAGTCTTCGAATTAGTCTCGACCATTTTTCTCCACGTGGAATTTTTACGACGTGAAATTTTTATTCTTGTGAATCTCTCACAGTCGCGAGTGTGACTTCATAGCTCGAGGGAGGTAGGTGTGAAGTTGTCTCGAGTCGGACATCGAGTGACGAAATGTTTGACAAAATCTGCGGAACGAGGAGCGAGGCGCAAATCGGCGAAGGGATCCGGAAGCACGTAGGCGAATTCGGCGCAGCCCCAGCGCGCATCAATACGCGCGCACGCAGAGACGAATGAATAAATATATAAAATATACGTAAATATATATAGATATATATCACCACACGTGTGAGACGTCCAAGACTAGAGCGCATCGCAGGAACGATTACGGGTGTCAAGGATGGCATTCTTTGACAAAAACACAAAATGGAAAAACGAGCTAAAGGATAACGTTAGAGAGTAGACCGATCAGTAGTAATCATCTCAAGAGACTAAATGCTTGGAGACTGCGGTTCGTGCTCGGTTGCGTTGAGGTAGTGCGGCACCTTAAAGCCGTCATAGGTCCAGGAGCCTAACTTCAAAACACAGGTCTGTACGTCGTACGGAAAGAACTCAACGTCGATGGAGCAGGAGGATTTATATACGGCCGGCGGTTGCCACACGACCAATCCCGAATAGTAGACCGTGGCCTTGGTCATCAGCGTCACCTCGTAGTTCCCGTCGGCGCTGGAATCACCGAAGAAACGAGCCGAGCGTGATCACGATTGGCTCGGAGAGAAGGTCTCCGGATGCTGCCGCCCGTTCCTACCTCTTCCTTCCTTCCTCTCTTTCCGTCTTTTTCTCTCTCTCTCTCTCTCTCTCTCTCTCTCTCTCTCTCTTTTCTTTCAATCTTTCCCCGTCTATTTCTCCTCTCTCTCTCTCTCCCCCTCTCTCTTTCTCTTTCTCTTCCTCTTTTTCTACTCTCGTCTGTCTCTTCTTTCACTTCCTTCCGAATCCAGCTTTACACGTGTCGACCAAGTGAGAATTCTCGCGCGATATTTTCGCAGCCTCGCGTTTAGACCGATCGACGGATGATTTCGAAAGTCGATAAATGAAGAGCGACCAGTGACTGTCTCTCGAAATTTACAATGGACGAAACTCGATTCTCGCCGATGAGAGACGCGCGTAGGAGAGACGAGCGAATTTACTACTCATGAAACTCTAGGATCATGGAATTACACGTTTTCCTTTGGAGCGACAAGGTCACGACAGAAACGATTACGCGACTGCAACCCGATTCTCGTTTCCCACAACTCAACCGCCCACGCGACGAGCGAGGAAACTCCGCGATGTATTTCCGCGTCGTCTTGGGCTATCCGGCAGCATCCGTCATTCGACGTGGTGTCCCGGCACTACGCGTTTTCACCCCGATCATGTCCCGGAGACCCACGCGGCGAGCCGATCGTCTGTGTGATCTAGTCTACGCTTAGGTTCTACAGCTGATCGTCGTCCCGTCCGAAGACGCATCCCGCACGGGCAGCCCGTGTCGGATCCGCGTCTCGGACGTCTCGTTCGCCGGGTTTTAGAGGTCTGCCTGTCAGGGGGCTCACAAGGTCGGGCGAGGGGGCACGGGCGGGCGGGGGTGTGGATGGGGGGCCACGACTTAACGGCTACCATGCGAATTTACCTTGAAGCCGTCATAGGTCCACGAACCGAACTTGAGGACGCAGGTCTGCTCGTCGAATGGGAAGTACTCCACGTCGATCTCGCAGGATGACTTATATATGGCCGGCGGCTTCCACTCGACCAATCCTTGATGGTAGATCGTGGCCTTCGTGGCCAAGGTCACCTCGAAGTTGCCGTCCGCGCTGCGAGCGAGCACATTAGTGGTTCTGGGCGCTGCGGCGGTCGAGCTTACTTTGTACTTCCGATTCGATATCAAGCCGTCTTTTTTGTTATTTCTTTTTTTTCAATTTTTTTAAATTTGTTTCTGTGTGCGTGTGTGTATATATGTTTACTTGTGCAGTTACGATGCCCTAAACAGGCGTATAAGACAGGATCTTACGCGCTTGAATGTGTAGCGAATCTGATTCTGGAGTACGCATTTAATGTGTGAAACAAAATCTCTTCGAAGACAATTGTGAAGTGTTCTTCGAGAATGCGAGTTGTTTATTCAAAATTATTCGCGAAATCGCGTCGCTACGCGGCAGGCTCTCATTTCGATCGAATAGAATCGCTGAATGAATCGTTAATTAATATAATTGAAATAAGAAACATACATATTTAAACCATCGGCCTGAATACCAACCGGCATCGGTAGACAATTTAAGGGGATGTCATATTTGAAAACTTTATCAACGAAATACTGACATTTTCTGCCAAGATTTTTTTCGTACATTGGTGGCGCAAAATTAAAAATGCTTCCACACAATACGCGCAAGAATTCATCGGAGCATTGCTTGATATGTGACGAAAACGATGAAAAATTTCAAAACTGACATCTCGAGCTGTCAGTTAGCGTAAATATTCGCCTGTAAAAGTTCTGCTGCTTGTATACGCTGGACGTGTGTTTGGTCTGTCCAGGAAAATTTCAAAGAACACTGCTATATCTTTAAAACGACTGAATTTAGAAACTTGAAGATATATGAAAAGTTTGCAAAAGGATTTCCATATATATGCGTGGTTAGGTTTTCCGCTAAATATATAGCGAAAAAAGCATATATCCATATCAGATTTATATGTACAAGAAATACAAAAAAATAGGCGTAATCGCCCTTACGTTTCTCAAACACTTTTCGTCATCCACTTCGGCATCCTCTTAATATCTCGTATCGCGCAATCGATCGAACAGCGCGACATCGATTAATGGAACGTTCGCGCTTCTCCTTCTTAGTCTGCAATTGGCAATTCGCGGAGATACGATATTCCGGCGAATGACGCCGGTAGCGATTACGGAGAATTATGTCCATCACTATCGGACTACCCCAAACGGCTGCCAATCCCGCTTCTGAAATAGAACTGTTTCGAAACCGGAAGAACCGACCCAGCGGATCTCGGATGGCGCGTTATAGCGCGAGAACACAGAGATATCCGTGGCCGATAGCACTCCCCCCCCCCCGTTTGCCCCGTCGAGAGAGTCGCATCGGCCTCGCGGGACTGCGCCAAGTGAACTACGCGCGAGTTTCGTAAAGTCGAGGAGAGAGTCCGGAGATACTAAGTCATCGTAGATGACTGCGGTGCGCTGGGATTATTTCGCTATCGGCTCCCCTTCTCTACCTCGTGAAACTATCTCCCGAACCCGAACGTAGTTGCGATCGTAACGGGAAGTAAGTATCGGTAACTGACGCGAATTTCGCTAAAGGAGGGAGAGGGAAAGAGTAAAAGAGAGAGAGAGAGAGAGAGAGAGAGAAAGAGAGGATTTTGGCGCGAATTGCTTTGCATATGAAAAAAGGGATGATCATGGAAATTTGTTTGGTTCAATAGATTACACTATGTTACAAGATTTTACACTTTTGCCATAAAAAGTCGTTCTTTAAAGGTCTTTTTTAAATCGGGTGTGTTGAACACAATCACGAAAACTGTTCATCACGTTAGATTTTCGAGAAGATAGAAGTTTAAACCTTCAAAAAATGCATTTTTAATATTTATAAATCTTTCTCAATTACATTTATAAAAGAAATATGTAGTGAATTGATGATTAAAGACCAAATTCTCATTGCATTTATTTTACCCATCAATATATCCATTCAATATAATTACAATTTTATTAAAAATAATTTAAGTCTTCGAATGCTAAAAAATGGAGCTGAACTTGGCCGCATTTTTTACATGAAAATTTCTCATCGTATGAATGTAGCAACAAATTTACGAAGAGCTCCACTCAAATTTTCATATTACATTTCACATGACACATTGTCTCGGATAAATTTCGATCGTTTTTTTCGTATTTTTATTTCATCATTTTATATGACAAATATGAATACCATTTCCGCCACTCACATAACGGATGCAAATTTTACAACCTGAGTAATAAAGTCGCCATGTCAAATTTACATGCACCTGTGTCTATCTGAGCGTGATCATCGCGTTTAGCTTTCCCACAAAGCAAAGATGGCGCGGAGGATCGAACCGTTGCTCAACTATCCGGTGACTTGCCCTCGCCTAAAGACAGCCTTGATTACATTGACCATCGCCGTATTGGCGAGGTATTTCTCGACGTCCCAGACGTGTCGCCAGGCTTTCTCCCGTATAAGCCTTCGGGGAAACGCGAACTGCATCAATAATCCAGCTAAGAGCTGCCTGGCGAGCGCCAGTTTACACCGCCGCCGACTTACGCGTGCCGGTGGGCGCACGGGACTTGGCTGAATATTTGACATAAACAAACGGAACCACGAAGCGAACGAATGTACAGGTCGCGCAATCGCGGGAAAAGCCTAAACGTTTTGCCACTCAACATTAATTGCCACTGCGCTCGAGCGCGCGCAATGCATAGAGTTTCCACGAGGAAAATAGGAATAGCTCGAATCCGCGGCAAGAGGCAGTTTCGAGAGGCACGACGAGAGCACAAATTTTCCAAACGACAAACGAGCGTTCATTGACCGAAACGTTGCGCTACATTTATTGAGCGTTACTTTCTGCCGCGCGAGAGTCAGATTGCAGCAATTTCACGACGCTCCATTCCCAGTGCATTTAAATTCGCCTCTTTACCCCCCGACAAAACATTTGTTTTGCTCGCAATCATTTTCTTTTTTTCGCTCGTGTACTTGCTATGAGGAATCACAGATCTACGTGCAAATGCACAGATGCTCCCTCGTCCTACGTGTCCCGCATTTCGGTCGAGATGCAGCCGGTCGCTGCCCTTTTATCCGGCACGTGGTCGAGGATAGCGACGCCAAGAACCAAGAAGAGAGGTCAAAGAACAGGTCGGCTCGTAAAGATCGCGCCAAGAGTCCTAATCGCGACGACGCATCTTCCAAGTGAACATGTTGCATCATCTATAAGAGGACGAGCGTCATTTCTCACGCGAATCTCTCAGCCGCGAGCGGCTGAATCTAATGGGATGCATCCCGCTTCGCAGAATATCTCAGGAGGGCGATACAAGGGTGGTGCACGGTCTTTGTTGCGCGAGCCCACCTCGCTTAGCAAAATCAATTTGTGTCCCGATGAAGATTCACGAGCTATCGATTTGTCTGACGGCTACGATCCGAGAGAAAGGATGATGACGTCGTTAGCGTCAATCGCCAAATACCGTACTGATGCGCCATTCGTCACGGTGCAATTACAAACCCTTCGTGTCGTATCGTTGGCTCCACATTGATATCGAGCCCACGTTGAGCAACAACTTCTAGATACGCCGGAACGATCGACATTAAATTGATGCTTTCGCGAAATATTTGAGTTACATTGCAAATTGTTCCCGGCAGAACAATCGCGAGAGCAAGTATCTCAGTGGAACAGGAAACACTTTAGATATACCTGTAACTGTAACGTCCTGTTTGAATAAATTGAGCGAATTTTATTGCACGATATACGGAGAAAGTGTTGTAGTGAAAGTTATAGTTTAATTGAAATTCTTGAATCATACAGAATTATGACCAAAATTGTTGTATATTTGTTGAAAAATGTTGTGTACGCTTGATCTATTACTACAAACTAACGTAAAAGCTTGTTATTTGAATGTTTGTTATATCGTATATCAGGTAGATCGTCAAATTGACTACTGTAATTTAAACTGCAATTTCAGCTTAATCCAGCTTTGCAAAAAACACTGTGAAAAGAAATATGCTTTTAATGTAATTTGCAACTATAGTGTTTTCTCCGTGTGCGAGATAATTGATCTAGAATTTATTTTTTCGTCGATTGCAATCGACAGAACCGCGAAAACAGTTAAACTGATCGGAAGCGACACAGCATACGCCCGTCCGCGCTCGTTTAAGATCGAAAACGATGGATTTCGTCTCTTGTTAATTCGGATCAAGTGACAGTGCATATTTCGCGACACACAGCGCAGTCCCGGCGCGCTTTGCAATTTGCATATGCCCGTTCCGCTTGTCTGTTTGCAGATACAAACGCGAAATCGCAATTTCCTGCTGCAAGAATTTCCATTGATCCTCGATGAACGAGGATAGGAGAGGACCGTGGAGTGAGCCGCGACAAAAGCCTTTTTGGGCGCGCTTATTCGCACGTCAATGAAAATAACGCTTCTCGCGTTACCCTTTCCCATCAGAGACGCAAAGTGATATGAGGGATACGTTAGATACGTGATACATTATATTACCGAGTGCCCTAGATTCTCCTCCTTTCAGCGATAGACGTTGGAGCGCGAATTAAGAAGAATGGAACGAGCATTTTAGCACGAGGGAACGAATGATTTTGTATCCCTGATGCTTTCGGCAAATCGAGTCTCTCATCTTTCGATTAATATAAAACGTGTGGTCATCACTTCGGCAAGAGTTAGATGTAAACTCGAGAAACCCAGCGTGAGCTTCATGAAGACGTAATTACAACGAAATATTGAGCTCTCGTTAACGTTGAAAATGAACGGGAGTGACGCAGTCAGATTTTCGGCGAGGAAACATCAACTTCATCCTCGTCGAAGAATACGCGTCGCCTAGGGGAATTATAAGACGGATTGGGCATCGCGTCAGATGATCGGGCAGATGCTTCGATCTCCATTTTGGCGTTAAAGAGGATGGTGCGTGGAGCCAAAATTCGAGCAGCCTAAAACGCTTCCGCGGCCTGTCGATGCGTCGCCATCGTTTTCCGGCGAGCCGGATATACACTTGCCGAAAAATCTCGCGTGTCACACACGGGAAATAGTCGATGAATTGAAACGAGCGGTCATGAAGCAGAGAGGAGGGATGATTGG